AAATAAGTGTGAACTCGAACTGCAACAACTACAGTGGAAGCGGACCTAATACTTGTAAGTGATTCTGCGTCTAGTCGGGATTCTGCTCCATTTTTGTGGCGTAGGTTGTCTGTTCCTTTTCCTTGTAGACTGTTGCTCAGTGTCCATTTCAACGATGGGGTTGAGACCCACCGCCCTTAACAGATTCTCTCCTTCATCCACGCTGCTTGCCTGGTGCGTGGCTCCATTTTTACGAACTTGGAGGGCTCCTGTAGGAAGCCACTTGTATCTGATGCCCGCCTCATTGAGACGCAAAGTGACTTTTTTCAGAACTCGTCTGATCGCCAGGGCTTCAGGAGCCACGTCAGGAAATATAGCAATGGTTGAACCTTTAAACTCCAGTTTGGGGGCTTTCTTAGCTAAAGTAAGGATGACATGTTTCTGTGATACATCGTCAAACTCAGCCAAAAAGTCTCTAGGACCCTTCCGGTCTTTAGATGCTTTTGCACCTAGTCTATAAGCTCTCCTCAGCTTGGGCATCTTGCCGTTTTCTAAAGCAAACGAAGTCCCCAACCATTGGGTAAGGAAGGACACTGGATCCTCCTCCTTCTCCACCTCTTCCGGGAAGCCGCGAAACTTAACTAGTTTCTCTCTGACTCGATGCTCCAGATACAGGATCTGCTCACGGGACCAAGCCTCAGCCTCCTGAAGGTAACGTACCTCCTCGTTAGTCACTGTGGTGGCTTCCAGCGCCGCATCGGCAGTTAGGGCTACATTTTGGATGGTTGTCTGGAGTGCCTCAATTTGCTCAGTAATAGGCCTTAGTGCTGCACTAATCGAGTCGTGTATGTCCGCTTTGATTTCGGCTTTTAAAGCCTTGAAGCTCTCCAGGAGGTCCTGCTTCGTGAAAGGATCTGAGCTCGGGGCTTTGCCTTGCATTCCGGACGCCATTTTAAAAAACCGCCGAAACGGACTCTCTCTCTATCGCTCTCCGCTTCTGGCGAAAGCGGCTCTATTTTTTTAAAAAACGTCCACGCTAGTGGGGAAGAGGTTCCCCTTTAGGGCTATGGCTTTTTCCGCCGGAAAAACTACAAAATCTGTTGAATTTGGCAGGGAGGAAGGCCAAGGAACCCGAGAGACACCTCACGGAGCTTCCGTTGCGTACGCTCCCGAAGCCCCGCCCCCGTGGGGCTAGGAAGATGAACCCCCCTCAGTCATTGGTGTTGTGCAATGCCAGGTCTATAAATAATAAGACCATGGTCCTTAGGGACTTCCTCCTAGAGCAGAATGTAGACCTGGCGTGCGTGACTGAGACCTTGGTGAGGGAAGGGGAGAAGTAGCTCTCTCCCAGTTGGCCCCTCCCGGGTTCTTGGTTCTACACCAATCAAGGACTAGGGGGCGGGGGGAGTGGCTCTATTCATCCGGGAGGCTTTCTTCTTCAGGGCGCTGCCGCCGCCGAAGATCACGGGCATTAAGTGTGCCGGCCTGGTGTGGGAGGCCAGGGAGAGTTTGGCAATTTGGCTAGTGTACTGACTGCCTAACGCACCAACAGATAGCCTGCCGTCCCTAATGGAGGCCATATCAGGCTGGGCATTGGAACACCCTAGACTGATAGTCTTGGGTGATTTCAATGTCGATGCTGATGATGCGACCTCTACTCAGGCAGTGGACCTAGTGTCGTCCATGGCGTCACTGGGACTCTTCCAATATGTAACAACCCCCACTCACCGAGCTGGGCATTTGCTTGATCTGATCTTTGCGGTGGGGGTAACAGTGGACCGGGTCACTGCCTTGGCATTCCCATGGTCGGACCACCATGCCTTGAGAGCCTGCCTGAATGTCCCACCCCAACTGTTTAGCGACAAGTGCATTTTAGCTCGCCCTTGGAGCTAAAATGAAGCAAGAGCTAAGACAGCTAGAGAGACGGTGGCGTTGAACTCGAGACGAAGCTACAAGAACATCTTATAGGACGTTTATGAGATCCTATGAGATGGCAGTCAAAGCCGTGAAGAGAGAGTACTTCACGGCTATGATTGCGAGCTCACGCCCAGTCCAATTGTTTAGAACAATTTGGTCTATAATTGTTTTACCAGAGGGCAAGCCAAACGTTAGGAAATTGGATATAGGCTGTGAGGCATTTGCAAGCTATTTCGCAGACAAAGCCTTGGCGCTCCGCTGCGACCTCCCCGCCACAGTTGAAACAGTGAGTGAGCTCGAGGCTCCATGCACATCTTCGACTTCAACCCTGGATCAATTCAGCCCACTCAGTCTAGAGGAAGTTGACAGATTGCTCACGGCTGTACATCCAACCACGTGCCTCCTGGACTCCTGCCCTTCCTGGCTTATTAAAGCTGGCCACGAGGGGTTTCAAGGTGGCCTTAGGGATATTATCAACAAGTCCCTCTCTGAGGGGCTGTTCCCAGGGGCACTCAAGTAGGTGATGGTCTGCCCTCTCTTTAAAAAAACCATCTCTGGACCCGGCCAAATTGGCTAATTATTGGACGGTTTCCAATTTGCCCTATCTGGGCAAATTGAGAGGGCAGTGGCGATACAGTTGCAGGGCTTTATGGATGACACTTCCATGTTAGATCCCTTCCAGTCCGGCTTTCGCCCGGGACGGCACTGGTCGCTCTTACAGATGACCTCCAGAGGCATCTGGATTGGGGCGGATCGACGGTACTTGGACCTGTTGGCTGCATTTAACATGGTCAACCATCAGTTACTGATCCACCGCCTCGCTGATATGGGAATTCAGGGGCTTGCCTTGCAATGGCTTGCTTACTTTCTTCATGGTCGGGGACAAAGGGTGGCGTTAGGGAAGCAGCAGTCCAAGAGGCACCCACTGGTGTGTGGGGTGCCTCAATGGGCAGTGCTCTCCCCAATGTTATTCAATGGTGCCGGCACTGGAGGTTGGGAGTTTGGGAGTGTGCCTGGATGCCTTCTTGACAATGGAGGCACAGGTAGCAGCCACTGCCAGGTCAGCCTTCTATCATTGGCCCCCTTCCTGGACTGCAGTTGGCCCCCTTCCTGGACTGCAATGACCTGGCCACAGTGATCCATGCGATGGTCACCTCGAGACTGGACTACTGTAACGCTCTCTACATGGGGCTACCCATTTTGCAAGTTTGTAAGCTGCAGCTAGTGCAGAACGCAGCAGCCAGTCTTTTGATGGGCCTCCCGAGATGGGAGCACATCCAGCCTGTGCTGAGGACACTGCACTGGCTGCCAATAGCATACCGAATTCACTTCAAGGTGCTGGTACTTACCTATAAAGCCCAATATGGCGAGGGTCCGGCATACCTGAGGGACTGCCTTTCCCCATATATACCCCAGAGAGCACTACAGTCAGGGTCTCAGAATCGTTTGACCCTCCCTGGTCCTAAGGAAGCCAGGCTCACAATCACCAGGGCCAGGGCCTTTTCAGTGGCGGCTCCATACTGGTGAATGAGCTCCCAGAGGAGATCAGGGCCCTGCGGGACCTTTCAAAGTTCTGCAGGGCCTGCAAGACGGAGCTCTTCCACCAGGCCTTCAACTAGGAGCCGCCCCCACTATCACCACCAACTCTTGGCTTGATGGCCGGCTTCTGCAAAGAACATCGAGAAACTGGAAAATGTAAAAGTACACCACCTTGTATAATTAGCGAAACATCAACAGCACTTATTATTATTATTATTACTATTACTGATTTTGAATTGTTTTACGAGGATTTTAGTGGATTTTAATTGCTATTTATATATTTGTAAAATGTTTTAATGAATGTAAGCCACCCTGAGCCTGCAAATGCAGGGAGGACGGGGTATAAGTAGAATAATAAATAAATAAAATAATAAATAAGCATATAACTGGCTACTCATCAACCTCACCTCAGAACCATGGCAATTTGAAACCCAACTGAAGAAGCATATAATTTGTAGCCTGAACTTTTTACACAAAGAGTTGGGTACACCTAATATTACTGTTCCCTATATCCCCTCTCTTTCTGAAGATGCATTCAGTCAGCCCATTCATGTCACACTTCTACACAGAGTTAGTTACAGACAATGCTTCTCACTGATGGATACTATTTGTACATGATGAAAAAAATACATTGGAAGCCTTCACTGTAATGTGGCAACTGTGAAATAAATGTCTGCACAATTCCAGTAAGAGCTTTTTGCTTTAGACTGTCCATCAATTACTTTCCCAGGGAAGTTGATTTTGCAAAGAACTATCATTCAGTAAACAGCTTAGTATTTTATTTTTCTATCATTATATTTTTTCCAAATACTTCATAAAATATAATTTGTATGTTATTTCTACATTTAAGACTTCATGCATATAGATAGTCGCAAACCTAACCTTGAAGAAAATTCTGCAGTGAACTGTAATAAGGCATCGCCTTCATTTTCAGTGTTGTCTGGCACTAAAAAAAGGAGAGGAAAATATTAGAATGTACTGACACACAATTTTAAAGCATTCCTTTTTATTACTTCCTTAATTCTACTTCTGATCTATTCTAAGAACTTATTAGGAACCCTTAACAAAGAGAACAGGCTTTACTGGAGATCAGTGATGATAAGACTGTTCTGTGGACAAATGAAATCTGCAGATAGTTCTAGGAAGATAAAGAAGGTAATATTAGTTTCCATATTCCAATTACTATTATTTTACCAATATAATTAGAAGACTGTAAATTACAATTTGCAAAAAATGTAAGTAGCTGATTAGATTTCAGCATTCTTCTGTAAATATAAACTGTAACAGAAAAAAGAAGTAAAACAAATAATTCAACCAAGAAACCCACTGGATAGAGAGCTGGAATTAAGATTCTGGTCTGGAGGAGCAGAGTTTGAGAGATTTTTGAGATCTAATCTATTGAAGCAATATGGTTTTCAGAGGAACACCAACACCAGTCCTCCGACTATCATACATGCCTTCTAACTCAGGTATTTTTTGTCTACTTTTTATATTCTTCTAGAATGAAAACCTAACACTGAATTTTGTTGCTCAGGAGGATTCTTCACAATTGTATTAGCCGCAATCTGCAAACTCCATAACATTTTGCAGGAAGCCCTACCCATGCAGGTTACAAAACCCTCCCCGGGAAGATTACAAATTGACATCATTTCTGGCAGGCCCCGTCTTTCACTACGCATTACATTCATGGTGAGGTCATGAGTAGACCTTTCCATAAATCCACACCTCCTGTATTCTAGTAAGGAGAGGACTGAAGACTTCATACTGAAAGGTAATGGAACAAAGAACAGTTGGGTTGCCAACTTCTGGGTTGGGGTGGGGGTTGGTGATCTCCTGGAATTGCAACTTATCTCCAGATGACAGAGATTTCTCCTGGAGAAAATGGCTGCTTTGGAGGGTGAACTCTATGGCATTATATCCTGCTGAGACCCCCCCTCTTCCCAATCCCCACGGTCCCCAGGCTCCACTACCATAACTCCAGGAATTTCCCAAACCAGAGCTGGCAACTAGGGTTCCCAAGTCCGAGCGGCGCTGTAGCGGGGGACTCCAGCGCTGCTCTGGGAGTGTGTGTGCGTTCGCAAAGCACGCACATGCCGCAACCATGTCACCCGGAAGTGACGCGACCACGCCGGGCACGCTGGGGGTGGGGCCACGACCATCCGAAGGAAAACCATAGAGTTTTCCCTTGGATGACCGTGGCCCCGCCCCCAGCGTGCCCAGCGTGGTCGCGTCACTTCCAGGTGACGTGCACATCGTGTGCTTTGGGGGTGGGGTTCTTCCCGGGGCCCGATCCGCCGGCGGGGAATGGGCCTCTGGGGCGGGGGTTTCCCCGCCCCCCCGGGGGGACTTGGCAAGCCTACTGGCAACCCTAGTTAGCACACAGATTCTCTCTCTCTCTTTGGTTGGTAGCAGAGGACTGTTTCCTTTTTGTACATATTATTCTGTCACTTTTGCAAAGGAACCTTTCCTATGTCAAACATATTCAGAATATGAAAATTTACTGATATATTTGCACTTTGGCTTCAAGGTTTAACCACACTCCTAGGCTTTGTTTCAATCACTTTTCTATGACATTCTATCTGAACCATTTCCAGCCTTTATTTTGTGTTCAGTTTTCACACAATAATATTGTGCTGCTATAATACTAATGTCCTGTGTGAGAACAGTGTATAGACAAATTGAGAGGGAGACAGGAAACATAGATTATAAGATGCCAAGATTACTTATAGAAGACCTACTTAAAAACTGATGCTAGTGCTGAAAGCAGAACTTGAAGGACAAGGAATAAACATAGCAAATCATCATCTTGAGGCTGATACCAGTAATGCATGCCATTATCTTCCACAGCTTTTCTTGCTATAAACAGTGAGCTGGAGAAGACAATAAACTTAAATACCGGACTGAGTGGATCCATGAGCATGAAACGCAAACATAACTAACTTCTTCAGTAGATTGTTTTCTGTAATTTAATATTCCATCTCTAAATTGTGGCCATCTCCACCACTCAAGAGAAAAACGTCTTCCTGGGCCCAATAATGCCACTACTATCAAATTTGAAATCTTCATGTATCAACCATGAACATTTTAGCAAGTGCCAATTTTAAAATATGTTTGATACTATTGATTATTTCTACTATGATCACCCTTCTTAGCTTCAAAATTTTTATTATTTCTCCCAGGATATTTGCCCACATAACTGACTCTAAATGTAAGCTCATTTCTGAGGACTTGAGCAGTTGTATTCAGTATACATTTATACATGGTGGCATTCTCATGTCCCTTTTTTCTTATTTTTGGAAGATGACATTTCCAGTGAAAGCAAACACAAAAAAACTACACTTGGATTAGATCCCAAGCCTCCCTTCCATGAAAGCTTTGTCCATCGACTGAACAGAAAGCAGCCAATGGATTCAGCTTTGCAGAAAAGAATCATTGGCTCCAAACCACTATATCCTTAGAAAGAGTTTTAGAAAAAACAACACAGTAGAAGTATCCCTTATTATTATAGCTATATTTAACGTTACACTATTGATGGTATAAGGGATTACACTGCTTACTCATTGGAGATTTCCTCAGTGCCGATGATGCCATACCAAACATCTCTCCATCATCTACTCCAAACTCTGTAGCATCTTCAAAGTCATCTCCGTCACTGTCACTAACCATGTGTACATCTGTGCATTGCTAGTTTATTAAAAAAATAATTTTAATAATAAACAAATGCATATTTCAGTATCAGTAGCTTCCAATATTCAAGTATAAAAATGAACCAATCTTAAGCCCAGTACCTCTGAAGCAATTTCACAAATACTGTGGTTTGAATAATGTAGAAAAATGTATTTACTTCAATAAAATGATAATGCCAAGAGAGTTCTTGCTTTTCTTTGTTTTATGTGTGATTAAAGTTTCAAAGGCTGGATTCATTTCTGATGGAAAAAAGGAAGGTATGTCTGATTTAAGACATCATTTTCTCTCAATTTCAGCAACTGAGGCATGTGGCACAATCTAAGACAAGAATTTGTATCTAACAACTTAATCTAACTAATTCACTGAGACTATTCAAAAATTATTCATGTCAGCCTCACCTCTAGCAACAGTTGCTCAATAATAACACATAAAGACAGGTTGCTTACCTGTAACTGGTGATCTTCGAGTGGTCATCTGTGCATTCACACCCTTGGGATACTCTGCGCCTGCGCTGAACCTTCTCGGTACCGATAGCTAGCAAAAGGGATTTTCGCGCCTCTCCCAGGTCACGCGCCGGCTCCACTGCGCATGACCAAGGAGGGGCACGCAGATCCCGCCAGTTCCTTCTGACCGCCGCCCAACAGCCTTCAAAGAAACAAGATGAAGGGCCGAGAGCAGAGGGGAAGGAGGGCGGGTGGTGTGAATGCACAGATGACCACTCGAAGATCACCAGTTACAGGTAAGCAACCTGTCTATCTTCTTCGTGGTCTCTGTGCATCACACCCTTGGGAGAATAGCAAGCAATAACTCTTACCTGGAGGAGGGGCCGAGGCCCTACACCTGCGCCGTCTGCAAGATAGACCGACCCAACGCCACACGACGAGTAGACCGGACATCAAGGGCATAATGCTTCACGAAGGTAAGCGGAGTAGCCCAAGTCGCAGCGTTGCAGATGTCCTCCAACGGCATCCCTCTCAGGAAAGCTGTGGAAGCCGCCACCGCCCTTGTAGAGTGGGCGCGAAGTTGACCTGGAAGGGGTCTCTTAGCCAAAGCGTAACATAGCTTGATTACGTCCACAATCCACCTGGACAGCGTCTGGGAAGAGATCTTCTTCCCTAGGGAGGGCATACTGTGAGCAACAAACAAGGCTGGAGACTGACGAAAAGACTTGGTCCTGCCCAAATAGAACAGCAACGCCCTCTTAACATCCAGAGAGTGCAATTTCCGTTCCTCTTCATTGGCAGGAGACGGGAAAAATGACGGCAAAACTATATCTGAACGTAGATGAAACTCCGAAACGACTTTCGGTAAGAAGGAGATGTCCAAAGACAACGACACCCCATGAGGGGAAAAAATCAAGTATGGTGGATCACACCTTAAAGCAGACAACTCACTGACTCGACGAGCAGAAGTAATGGCCACCAGAAACGCAGTCTTGAGCGATAACAACTTTAGAGAGCAAGTGGCCAGTGGTTCGAAGGGTTTTCCCATCAAAAACCGCAAAACTAAAGCCAAATCCCAGGCCGGAGTCGGAGAACGACGGGGAGGGTACAGGCGAATAAGACCTTTACAAAACTGTTTCGTCTGAGGATGCGAGAAAACTGAAAACCCATCAATAGATGGATGAAAAGCTGACACCGCAGCTAAATACACCTTAACTGAAGAAAAACTGAGTCCCAAGTCCATTCTGGACAAAATAAACGCAAAAATAGACCTCAAATCCACTGGCGGAGGAGGTAAATTGGAAGAACTCAAGTACTGTAGGAATAAATCCCACTTCTTTGCGTAAGACGTCCTAGTAGACAGTTTACGACAATTCAACAGGACCTCATTGATACGGTCATCCATCACTGAAAGCGTATTTCCCATAGAGTCAACTTGAGACTCAGAGGATCGTAGTGAAGGACCTGGCCTTCCTGAGCTTGGAGGAGATCCAACTCCTGCGGGAAGTGTACGAAGGATCCCTTGGCTAACCGCAGCAGTGTCGGAAACCACACCTGCCGAGGCCACCAGGGGGCTACCAGGAGACAATGGGGCTTGTCCTGTTGTATTTTCACAAGCACCCTGTGGAGCAGCGGAATCGGAGGAAATAGGTATAGAAAGTCGTGAGCCCACGACATCAACAGACCGTCCCCCATTGACAGAGGGTCCAACCCCGCTCTGGAGCAAAACCTGGGACACTTCTTGTTCAATCGAGTTGCAAAAACATCGATGTGGGGATGTCCCAGATGTTGAAAAAGAGGAAGGAGATACTTTGAGTTCAACTCCCATTCGTGGTCCGATGCTCCCCCTCTGCTCAGGAAATCCGCTTGTTGGTTCAAAGTTCCTGGCAGATGGGCAGCTTGGAGAGTGATGTTCCAATGAAGGCACTCTTCCCATATGTCCATAGCTAGCCTGCAAAGGGACCTGGACACGGTCCCGCCCTGGCGATTGATATAAGCCATCGCAGTTGTGTTGTCCGTAAAAATCAACACAGCTTTTCCTACAACCTGTCTGAGTAAGGATCTGAGGGCAAATTTTACGGCCAGCAGTTCCAGATAGTTGATATGATGACTCTTCCAAAGGGGTTGCCATGGAGCACCCACACAAGTGTCGTCTGTATGAGCACCCCAACCCCACAGGGAGGCATCTGTGGTGATGGACATTACGGGAACGATCGGTTGGAACGGTGCACCCGCCAACAGATTGGTGTCCACGAGCCACCACTGCAGGGAGACGAGGACCTGCGGAGGCACTACCAGTTGAAGGCTCGGAGGATGGATGGAAGGGCGAAATTTCTTTAGAAACCACAGCTGCAACGGGCGCATGCGAAGGCGTGCATATTCGATCACGGAAGTGGTGGCTGCCATGAGACCCAAGATCCGCTGAATGTGGACCGCTGATGTCACGTTGGACTGGAACAAACGTTGAATTTCCAGACGAATGGTATCTGCCCGTTGGCGAGGAAGGTACGCCCGAGTGGCTAGGGAGTCTATGACAGCTCCTATGAACTGCACGCGAGTTGCAGGTTGCAGCATGGATTTCTGTAAATTCACCAGAATTCCAAGGGAGGATAGGACCGACAATGTGATGGTGATGTGCTGAAGGAGACATTCTCTTGAATCTGCCACCATCAACCAGTCGTCTATATACGGAAAGATCTGAATGCCCTGAAGGCGAAGATGAGCGACGACAACCACCATTACCTTCGTAAAAACCCTGGGGGCGGTAGAGAGCCCGAATGGAAGGGCTTTGAATTGGTAATGGTCCTCCCCGACTGCGAATCTGAGGAACTTTCTGTGACGAGGATGGATGGAGACGTGAAAATAAGCGTCTTTGAGATCTAAAGTGACCATCCAAGTCCCTGGAGACAGGAGTGGTAAAATGCTTTGCAACGTGGTCATGCGAAACTTTCTGTAAATGATGAACCGATTGAGAAAACGAAGGTCCATGATTGGACGAAGTCCTCCGTCCTTCTTGGGGACCGTGAAATATTTGGAATAAATCCCGCGGCAACAATCCGCCATCGGGACTTTCTCTATAGCGTTTTTTTGTGTCAGCGATTGTACCTCCTGTAGCAGGGCAGGAGACGCCGGGGTTCTGATAAAACGGGAGATTTTGGGAGTCAGAGAAAACTCTATGAGATAGCCATCTCTTATTATAGAGTGCACCCATTTGTCCGTAGAAATGGCGAGCCATGCGTGCAGGAAGGGTGCAAGGCGAGTCTGAGCAGTAAGGTTGAAGTCAAAGTCCCTGTTTGGGATTCTTAGGGAATTTCGACTTATAGGCACCGGACGATTGTCCCTTATTTTTCGGGGGAAAAGACCGTGACTGAGAGGGAGGTCTTTGCCATTGATCCGTAGGTGATTTGTTGTACGGTTGCCTGGTCGACCAAGGTTGCCTAGGCCACTGCTTGGATTTCGAGTATTTGGTCGTGGGGGAGATCCCCAAACTCTTGGACGTCTTGATACTCTTATCCATTTCCTGCAGAACCGTGTCAGTGGTGGAGCTAAACAATCCAGAACCTTCAAAGGGAAGGTCTTCCACCGAGGATCTGGTGTCATATGGCAATGATGAAGAGCGGAGCCAGGCATGTCTGCGTAACGCTACAGAGGTTGCTAGAGTCTTACTAGCGGATTCCAGGGAATGCTTGGCAGCACTAATTTGGTGTCTAGCCAAGACCATCCCTTCATTCTGAATCCTTTTAATCTGAGGTTGGCACTCTTTGGGCACGTGCGGGAGGAAATCATTCAAACGCTTCCATAAATTGAATTGATAACGGCCCATGCAGGCGGCATAGTTCGCCGTTTTAATGCCCATTGCACCGACAGTGTAGAATTTTCTACCAACCGAATCCAACTTTTTTCCTTCTTTGTCTGATGGAGTAGAGTGGCTCGCTTTTCCTTTCGTGGACGAGGAAACGACCAAAGAATTGGGCTTAGGATGTGTGTATAAAAACTCAGCCCCTGATTCCTGGACCTTGTACATGTGATCCAGACGCTTATTAGAGACATTAATGGAGGCTGGACGAGTCCAAAAGTCCTTGGTAGTTTGCAAGAGAACTTTTGTCATTGGTAGAGCCACGGAGGGCGAAGTGTTAGAGTGCATAATGTCAAAAACGTTATCATCCACAAAACTGGCAACGAGAGTAGGAGTCATAGATAGATCTAATGCCATGCGTTGAATAAAATCTCCATAAGACTTAACATCCTCTGATGGAGAAATAGGTAAATCCGCTTCCACATCTTGCGAGGTGGGCTGTGCATCTACATCCTCGATATGTTCAGAAAAGCCATCTGAATCGGAGGATACATTGGATGGTTCTGGAGATGATTCGAGTAATTCAGGTTGAGACGGTGCCGGTGTGTTAATCGGGGGCACAACCGGGTCTGGTGGATGCGTCGGTATCGACTGCTTCGATACCGATGGTCGATCTTGAAAGCGCGAAATGCGGGATGACACCGACTGACGATCCCATTCAGGTGGGGGTGGTATCGGGAGTGCCCAAGGGTATGGGTATCGATTCCCGTACAAATAATGCCATTGCCTCTCATCCCAAGTCAGGGGAGGAGAAGTTGGTCGGTGCCGATCCTCGACTCCACGTTCTGGGGAGGCATGAGAGGATTGACGGCTCGACATATCAGATTGCGACTGATTTGTCTGTTGAGTAAGGTCGATGTCGAGATCCGAACCGATCGGGTGAGGTTCTTGCGTCGAGGCAAAGTGAGTGCCCGTCGGTGGGGGATATTTTAAGGCCGCAAGTCTTGCACCGTTTGAAACAACCCCACCGCGGGGCCATAGGCCAGCGGAGGGGAAACAAGAAAAACACAAAACAAACACCCGGAGAAAAATGCTAACTACAAAAATAAAGAAAAAGAAAGTAACTAAACGCAAGTTTAGCAAAAGTTTGTACTTAACAGACCGAAGCAGAAGGCGTCCTACCAGCGCGGCGGTCAGAAGAGAACTGGCGGGATCTGCGTGCCCCTCCTTGGTCATGCGCAGTGGAGCTGGCGCGTGACCTGGGAGAGGCGCGAAAATCCCTTTTGCTAGCTATCGGTACCGAGAAGGTTCAGCGCAGGCGCAGAGTATCCCAAGGGTGTGATGCACAGAGACCACGAAGAAGATTTTATAGTTTAGCTAACGATTTTCAACTAGCTGCATTATAAGAGCTTTGTTTTAATTTTACTTTTTCTCTCTTCAATCAACATATTCAAGTAGCATGGATTATGTTACTGTATGAAAAACTCAGTGTTATATGCTCTAATTTGGAGAACAAATTCAGCTTCCATCTATGTCTGAATAATCAGATAGATTTAATGCTTTGTTTTTTTACCTCTTCTGACTGTTCTCTGGTTTGTGTTGGTGAGGATCTTCTTCCAACTGTAAGTCGGTGGCAAGGATAAGAGATCCCAGATGCTGCTAGAGTAATCTGAAAACGAGACATAAATTGCTGCATCACATGTCTGATTGCCAGATTTTTCATGAACACATACTGTTGTGGACTTCAGTGAACAAAAATTAAAAGACAAGAAAGGTAAAAGAATAACAACATTGCTGTAATACTTGAGATGATCCCATGGTTTCCTCCTATTAAATGGTACATTTTATGCCCCAAATCATGCCATTTGTTCTACCAACATACCTTTTTCTATATAGAGCCTGTATTTAGTTCATTCTTTTGTAAGAGGGGCAATCATTTTCTCTTACTAGTTGACATTCCTTTTAAAATCCACCAATATAATAGTACAATGGATAGTAAGAGCTATTTCTTGAATCACAAGGAAGAGCAGAGTATAAATGTTTTCATAAATAAATTAAGAAATAGTAAGAGGCAGGAAGTTTCTGGCACAGGGCAGCAACTGTTTTTACCAAAATAAGTGGAGATGGGACCATCATAGTCATCACCATAATAATGCATCAGTGTTAACTGGCTAGGAAGGTCCAGAACAATTATTACAATTAATGTGTTTAGTCCAGGATTAACAAGCTTCCAAGTTCTCTTCAGGGAGCCTATCTTTGAGAAATCAGATTGCAGAACCTGATGATTGTGACACTTTTACAAAGTTGCACAGCATGGAGGGGGTGAGGAGGGCCAGCAGACCTGAGGATCAATGAGCCCAATTTGGTCTGCAGTGCATGTTCAAAAAGAAGGGGCTGCAGGCACACTGGGCATTTAGGGCCCTCCACCATTAAAACCTAACAGTGTTGTTCCTAGGAAGGAGCTTGGCAGGGACATGGGGCGCTGTCATCAATGGTGTGATGTCACTTCTGGGGAAAACCCAGAAGAGATATCATGTCTTTCTAGGAATAGTTAGAAACTGCCCCCCCCAAAAAAAAATAGTTTCCAGTGATTCCTAAAAAGGCATGGTGTCTAGGGTTGCCAACACTAGGTTGGGAAATTCCTGGAAATTCGGTGTTGGATCCTATGGAGGGACCTTAGCCGTATATAATGCAATAAAGTCCACTCTCCAAAGCAGCAATTTCTCCAGGGGAACCGAATTCTGTAGTTTGGGGATTAGCTGTAATCCAGGAGATCTCCAGGCTCCACCTGGAGGTTGGTGGCCCTAGTGATGTCCCACAGATGTCCCCTGGAAGTGATATCATGCACTTCGCTAAACAGGAATATGGCAGCCCTGGTCATTCACCAGCAACCTGCACCCAGCAGCAGCATAATGGAGGGACTGAAGAAGGAATGCGCAGGGCTGGGTTGCCTGCATGGCCCTAAAAGAGTGGTTGTCCCCCTAAAGGGCTCTGGGGAAGGTGCATGACAGTCACTTTTGGGGCTGACATATTTACCATGCCCCCAAGAAGCTGGTAACGGGCAGGAACACCAGCTTCCAGCCCCCCCCCCAAAAAATTCTTTCTTTGGTTATCCTCAACTGGCAGGTTAGGGGGCTTGCTGTCATCAGTCAGGCTGTCAGTTGCATCCATTGTTTCCAGCCTATGCTTCACCAAGACCTGAGGAACCAGTAATCAATCAAGTGTATGGATCGTCCATATTTCACTGTGTCTATGTTGTCCTTCTCTCCCTACCTTTCAGGCAGGCAGCTAGTCCAAGCTCAACTAAATCTAGTGGGTTTCCTTTAAAATGTGAAGGGCCCATCACAACACAGGATAACCCCAAAGATGCAATGGTGGCTATGAAATTCTAAACTGAACCAGATAGGAGATAAGAGATAGATACTGAAGTCCCCCATAACTAAAAACCTGGAAACATTCAGCACCAGACCCAAAACTGCTGTGTCCAGGGAGTATGTTGGTGGACAGCAAACCAACAGAATCCCTAACCTGTTGATGAACTCTGACAAAAGAAAAAAAATATCAAGGCTAGCTAGTGTTTGCATGCAAAAGAAGAAAGATGCATTGGGAATTGTTTCTAGTTGGCTCTCGCTTTTTTCCAGTGGAGCCATGGTCTCCTTAATTAATACACAGCTGTGCAAACATGTCCTTGCAGGATAAAAATACATGAATTGTCAAAACTGAAGATATAGAAATGTGTTTTCTGTCCTAAACTAGTTTTTCTATAATTTACTAAAGTCAATTTAAAATATTTGATTAAGTTCCTGTATTTAAAATATAAAGTTCTACCTTCTAAGTGACTATAGTGGCCAATATATCCATATGCAAATGCTAATAATGAACAGTAAAGGTGATATTTCATTCTCTGTAGCAAGCATGCTAGAAATATTCTATTTATTTTTATCCTCATTGGTGCATTTTTAATCACTTATGTGCTAGAATTCATAAAAGCCTTAATTTGCTGCAGGTTAAAGCAAGCTGATTAGAAGTGCCAGCTAGCCAAGTGAGTGTTGACCTGCCTGGACTAGCCTGCTGCCACATTCTTGTAGCAAGGTTAAATAGCAGTTTAGTCACAATTTTAAAATCACAGAGTTAAAAGGAAATGACTACTTCGGAATAAATGAAATATTAAAGTAGACATTTGGGTCAAGCTCAATTATCAGTGAAACTCTTTCATACATAACACAGAATCTATGCTCTTCTTTATAATACTGGCGCTGGCATTTTGTATTATATGCTTCATTAAATCTGTTTTTTAATACAGTCATGCAAAAGAAACATCCGCTGTTGTGATTCCACTAAGCATCTAAGCTAACTGAGCAGTGCACCAGAAGAAAAAGAGACAGAGGCCAACAAATGCAAATGCAGGTGTCACGGTGGCCAAGCAATAAGATCCATAGAGAACTGTCTCATACTGGATATCTTTGTCCAGTTTACACAGTTTTAAAGGACAAATAACTGGTTTAGGGTAATCCAGGCAGATGAACAGGGTGCTCAGGTTCTCCTGATAATGTCACAGATTTTGACACAAGACATCTAACCTTATGTTCCAATCAAAGGCTCTTTGAGATTTCAAGAAGGGAAAGATAATAAATACGTTATACTGAAATCTGATGCAAGATCAACAAAGAGAAATAGTTGTTTTCTAAGTATTTTAGCAGATACTTTTCTAGATCATTGTTTAACTGTATCTCAACACCACAGGAATATTAACGTTAAAATGTTTTTCTCCTACGGATGCCAGGTCCTTCATCGTTGCCGGTAGGGGACTTTGGGGAGCATTCCTAGGGGGGAAGAGGACATCCCCAACATGATGATGTCACACAGAAGTGACATCATCACGTTGGGAACCAGCACCCCACATGCCTGTCCAAGCGGCAAATTCACTGCTGGAGTTCAGCCCCCCCCTTTGCAAACAGCATTTAAAGGGACCCTTTGAATGCTGTTTGCAAGAAGCAGGGGCTGCGCATGCCTGAACTCCAAGTGCTGAACACTGCTGGAGTTCAGGCATGCCCCCCCATGTAGAAGGGCACTTAAGAGTGGTACATTTAATATATCTCCAATGATCCCCTATTTGCATGTTTCCCAAAGGCTCTTGGGGATGCTTCTGAAAGACTCACCATGACCTAGGTGGTATACAGCAGGACTGGGCTATCAGAAAGGGGAATGATTGAAAAAGTGCTGAAGGTACCACTCTTGAATGCCCTTTTAAGCCACCGGTGGTCGCTCTTAAGGGCACAGCTTTCCCCGCCTGCTGCATGAAATTGAGGGATCCCCCACCCCACCTGGGGACTGGCATCCCTATTTCCTCCTATAAATTACTCTGTGCATTCTCCTACAATGAGTTGCATGAAACCCCAAAACAACTTTGTCTTTATTATTTTCTTTAAAATCTAAGGTTTTCATTGAAAGGGCTGGGGAGTTGCCACCTAATTAAAATTAACATTTCACATCAACAGTACTGTGGTCTTAATCAATGGAGTACAATTTGTTATGTATTGAGCCTAAGCCTTTTGTCTTGCTGCACCTAGAACGGGCTTCTCTAGAACAATAGCTCGCCTGGATCCAGGAACTAACCAATAGATGAGCAATGTAATGTAAATATCCTATCACAGGGAGTGTGTGTGTGTTGGGCGTGGTGTTTTGCATGCTTATAAGCAGGGCTCCAGCCCTGCTAGCTTGTTTTGCAGTTTGCTGAAATCACTGAATAAACCTGAGCTGATCACTGCAATGCGTCTAGAACCCAGTATTTAACACAATTCATGATCCATTTTTATTCTGCCTGTCTCCTTCTCTTTCTCCCTATCTCTTTCTTCCGCCCTCTGCCCTCTGCCCTTTTTTCTTTTTTATTTCTTCATTTTCTCTTTTCCTCCTTCTCTTTCTCTTTATCTCTTCCTTTTGTCGATGGTTTTTCTTTCTCTGCCCATCTTTTTCTTCTCACTGTCCATGTTTCTCCTTCCATTCTTCTTACTATGTCCACGCCTCTCTCTTTTTAACTTTTCTTTTCAACTATTTTTGTCTTTTCCTTCTCCCTCCTTCCCTCCCTCCAGAATTCCTGTCTTTTTCCATTTCTCTTTTGCCCATTTCTCTCTTAGTGCATATTCATCTTCATCTGTTCTTCTTTCTTCATGTCTTCTCCTTTCCTTTCCTCTGCTCATCTCATTCTCTCCTCTTCTGGCCATCTCCCTTCTTTAAAAGTAGATAGAAATTCCTGTATCACTCACAAACGTGCACTGGAAAGGTGTTTTTTTTTTTTTTAATAATCTCGATTACAGGGTGGCTGCAGATTAGAAAGGAGTGATTTACAGTCCCATTCTAAGCAGAGTTACGCCCTTCTAAATCCACTGAAGTCAATGTTAATAATTGATAAATGATCTTGTATTTATGTCCCAATATACATTGGGGAAATGGGTGCTGACAAAACCATCCTTCAGAAAATAGGTTTAAAATGATTCAACTAGTGAGGGAGATTAGTATTAGCCTTTTTTCACCTAAATATCAGATTGGGAACTGAATTTTATTGGCGGTTATCATCAACAGGAGGAAATGGAATGGGAAAGCGGATGAATCAAGAATGGCATAGTTTCTCCACCTGTTCCCATGGGGTTGAATCCAGTTTAAATTGTCTGC